ACTTGAACACACATCAGCATTCATCCCTCTTGATATCTTGTCAAACGCCTAACCAAATGACTTGTCAAGATTTTAATTAGTTTTCTATGAAAGGAGAGGCTGTGATACAACACAAATGATTATGTATTATTCTCCTGACAGTGCTCAGAGACAGATATAAAGAGGAAATATAGTGTTGGAATGACTGTGGGAAAATCTTCAATATCAAAACATCACTTTTTCCTCCTCTGAAATGTCACTATGAGCTTGTGAGAAGAACTTCAATGCTTCTTTGCAACACTTTAAAAAGCCAGGTGTCATGTGCTGATCTGGTTCTGAGGTGCAGTTAGTGGTTCACTGGGCTTTGAAAATTGTCAGCAGGAGTATCAGAGAAAGTTGTTGGGAGTCAAAAGGGTAAACAGGAATATAACAAAAAGAAAAAAAAAGGAGGGAATTTCAGAAGTGGCACTGAAAGGGAAGGCTTGAATCAAGCAGACAACGTGGGCTCATCAAAGAATTACACTCAACACCAGCTAGGATTACTCAGCCTGTTTTTAACATGCATCATCTTGTTCTTAGTACAAACAATTCAGCAAAAAAAAAATCAAAATGTTATCATTTAATATAATTATTGGAAATATATAAAATCTATATATTTAGATATACATTTAAGATAAAAAAAAATGTTTGCATTTGATCATTTTCATGGCTGCCTGCTTGTCCTCTCTTTTTAATAAGTCATAACCTAGAGAATGGAGGATAAAGAGCATAAGTCAAGCACCTATGAGAGGCTGTAAAAAGAAGGAAAAAATCTAAACAACAAATTCCTTCTCGTATCTCCGGCATTTAAACTGTAAAGAGCCACAAATCAACTTGGGGAAATCTGATGATGGCCATTTTCCTAGACCCATCAATATTTAACAAAATGAAAAGGCAGGAAAATGAAGAGAGAGGAGAGTGCATATGTTATTATGTAGTGTTGCCAGATTACAAAATGCACTGGGGAAAAAAAAAAAAAAAAGGGCCAGGAGGCATAAAATGATGTTCTGACACATAAAAGAGGTGACATCAAACATGAAATCAGGTGAAGTCCACTGCGCACCTCAGGAGTGCAGCTACAGTGGAACAGATAAAAGGAAAATCAAAATGAAATGACGGGGGGGAAAGTCTGCTCTGATTGAAGTGACACAAGGAAATGAGGATTCCACTATCTTCTGATATTTCACTAAAAAGGTTGCCAAACACCGAGGCAAGTGGACCTGAGAGAGCAAGGACAATAATATGAAGAGGTTGCTATATACCGTGGTACAAAAAAATCCAGATTGAAAAGAATGGCAAAAGTGACGGAGGAGGAATAAGAAACTCCGGCTCAGGGATGGATGAACATAAACCGCTACACACCTAACGGTGGAAAGCGGAAGCAACGCTGCGAGGTGGGCAGAGTGCTGCAAGCGCTGCCATGTTCTGTCCAGTGATTTATGTCTACGCTAAGGCAACAAAATGTAGAAACAAGATCAGAGCACATTCTGAGATGAACTCAGGACTTGGTGGACTGCTGATGGATAGCTCCTGTCTTACCATTCCACCATTTTGTAAGGTGAGAGGGAAGGACAGATAAGGAAAGACAAGGTGTATTTTCAAGAGTACCTGCAAAAGACTACACAATAAAAAGGAAGGCGTTTATTCTGAGCCGATTTCACTTACTGTAGTTTAATGCTATATTTTGCATGAGACTTAAATGTAAATCCTCGAATTAATAATTCCGTTAAGATCTAATAAGTCTGTTTGGAAATGTTACTTGAGGGGTCAGCAGTCCTGCTGCCTGTTTTCTATTTTTGTCTGTTCTATCTGAGATAAATTATTAGGTCCCTGTAGAACAAAGTGATAGGCCGAAGTGATGTGAAACAGTCGTTTGGAGCAGGAAGACATTTAAGACAAGCTGAACAACAGCCCTTTAAGACCAGAGTTGTCCAGCTCTATCCTTGGGATTCGATAAGAGCTGATTAAAAGGTGACCCAAACCACAGCAGACAACATCCACATGGTGCACAGCCAAGTGTTTGTATGCAAAAATAAAAGAGTCAACTTTTGGGGATGATGCCAAGTAGGTGTTTATAAGGAAATAACATGTATTTTAAATATTTTTGTGACCCACCATTATGGGTAATACAGTACCTTCCAAAAGTAAATTCAGAGTTTATTAGTTTCAAATCTTTCTGTATATTTTGACTGAATTGACTAAATATCTGTGTATATAAACTGGTGTTTTTAAAAAGTGCCTTGGGATTACATTTTATTGAATTAGTTCAACTGGTTGCACATACTTTTCTTTAGGGGTATTGAGGGTAAAAGGGGACTGAACCCATTCTCCGGCCAAACCTTTAGGAATTGTATTAGTGAAGAATTTCACTTTACAACTACATGCTACTTTATGATGGTCTGTCACATTAAATGAAAAAATGTTGCGAAGTGGTTGTACCATAATCAACTGAGAAAAGGCCTTGATCAATCCAAATGCCAACGATTAGTTAAATGTGCCCTTCGTGATTTACCTATCATCTAAGACTATGAAATATATGAGTATATTGAGAACTAAACAATTTAATTGGAAAGTGACATGGACCTGCATGTAATGAACTACAGCCAAACATTTTTTATTAGTGCATATGTTCCTCCACCTACAAAATATTTAATATATTAATAATTAGGTTTGTCACCAGATTTGATGACAATTTTGAATGATTAACATCAGAGACCCTAACCTCCCAAACTCTAAACTAAGGCATTTTTTTCTGTCCACAGTTTGCAATGTTAAAGCATAGGCTGTCCACACAACTTTTCTGATCAATTATTGTCTTTCTCTAACAATCAAAGCGAGTTTTACTTCACAATGATGTTCACAGTTAAAAGGCAGACTGAAGCTGCTTCTCTGTGTGTGACTGACTCCACAATGCTTAGACAGCTGTACATGTAAGTGAAGAGTTGTAGAGATGCAGCTAAAGCAGTCATTACATTTTACAACTTTTCAAAGCAGAGTGCTAATTTTAGAAAGCAGGTGATCAACTTCTTTCGTGAAATTTGTCCACACTGAATGAACTAGAACAGCAAAGTAAAGCCTAAATTTATGCAAAGGCTGAAAATAATGACACATGCCTGCGACTGATCTAAAAAGTTTAATCTGATAATATTATATAATGCAAATTAATTGCATAACCTATTATGTCCTCTCTACCTGGTTCACAACAATGCATCACACAGTCTTTGGTCAACAACGCAAAGTCGCAAATGCGAGTGAAAAGATGAGCAAGTTGAGTCAAACTAGTGTGCTCAGCACCAAATGCAGCTTGATAAAACTCTGATAGAGTTGTGGATAAAATCAAGGTGATATGTACATATTGCAACAATAAACTCTGTTTTCGCCAAAGCGCAAGGTGTTTAAAAGACCATCTTCGAGGAAAGCACATTTTCGCTGACGCTAGCAAAGATGCTAATTCAGGGCGATTTTACAACATCAAACCACGCTTGTCAGACAACGCTGACAGGGTGCAGCTGTAGAAACTTCAACAAAAACTATTGTAAAAAAGAATACATAAACTGTACAACATCATTGAGGCAGCTAAATCACAACAGCTGGCAGACGCCACATTTACTGCCTTTACTGGAAACCCCTGGACATCCGTGGGTAATCGCAATTACTGTGCAGCTACTACACACCAAATAGATGAGAAGTGAAACTACACTTCTTCACTTTGCAAGTGGCATAAAACAAGGACAACGTTACATTTCAAGCTTACAAAGTTAAACATGGTGATTCATCTTGATTAATCAGTTCTATAATGTGATTAATCTGATATGTTTTAATCAACTGGCAGCATTAGTTCATTTATGATATATAAAACACGTTATCTGAAAATAAATAACAACCATTTTTTTTTTAATTAGACTGGCACGTCAGTCTAATTTATCATGATACAACATGGTAAATTGTATCATGTTTTCAAGTCTGCAGCTAAATGTGACATTGCAGAAATATCTGAGTCGTTTTCTAAAAATAATTAACCTTTGGGAATAAATGGAAGAAAAAACCCCACGACATAGGTGGTAAATGAGCTAAAGGCCCAATATTCACAATTCTAATGTGATCAGTGAAATAGTGAATAAATGTAAAATGTAACCTGGAAAATGAGAGGTAAGTATTTCTTGGAATAAGAGCTTTACGTTATCCTTATACTGCGGGTCAAGTACACAACAGGAGGGTAAGTGAAAGCAAGCGGAGAAACGTGTTATTCCAGCATTGATGTGGTGTGTAAATACTTTTTTTGAAGAAAATCACTTGCCTGTGTGTAAAACATTTCAAAGGATTCACACTCCTTTAAGGACTATCAAAGACTGCTTCTGTCTGTGTGCAACAAATACTTCTTTTTTTTTTCCCCCTACCTCCATGAATGTGAATTTAAGTGTCAACGGCCAGTGAAAGTATTCATTTCAGTTTATGCTTGACTAATCACTTAGGCAAGTGAGCAAACAAGCGAGTAACTACAGCCATAGTATAAAAGGGAAGGAAGGAAAGCTGAAAGGCAATGCTGTTGGGGGACTGTGGAGCTTTTCAACAACTATCTTGAGTCATAGCTGTGTCAAGAAAAAGTGTGAAGTCATTTGCTCTGAGGAAGCTCCATTTAGAGGGAAAAAAGAGTACTACTGTCATTCACATCCAGCATGTAGGTGCCGTCCTTAAGCTTTAATGCTGACAAAAAACTTTTTTTTTGTTTTAATACTGAAAAAAAGCATACCAAAACAAAGAAAAAGCTTGTGAAATCCAAATAAGGGCATACATAGTCAAATAGCACACACCAAAGAATATATAGTGTGACAATAACTTTCATTTTGTCTGTATTTCCATGCTGTTCTGTGACATAACAAACAATGCATGTGAGAAGAGATTGGGTTTAGGTGAAGCACCCATCAGAAAACATGAAGTATTACGTTACAAGCAAAAGAAATGCCTGTGCCATCATTTTACTCTATTAATTTGAGCGTAGTGTTAGTAGTGTGTCATACCTCGCATTCTCGGGAGCCTGAGATGGTGTAGGTGCACGGTCCAGTTCCATTGACGAGCACATCCATGGCCTCAGAATTGTTGGGCTTGTAGTCCACATAGTACTCCTGCAGAGGGGAGCTAAGGGTGCGCTCCGTCTCTCGGGGTTTCTTGCGACGCTTGCGAGCCGCAGCAGAGTGCTCCTGGAGCTGCTTCACGCTGTTAGGGTAGCGCTTCCAGGACACATAAATTACCAAGAGGATCATCGCAACGGACAGAAACAGGGCAACACTTCCAGCCACAATCTTATGGAAGGAGACGGGCTCTAAATCTTGCTCTGGAGGAAGTGCAACAGGTGGGGTAACTGCCAATGAAGTAGGACCCCAAAGAGAGCCCTCAGATCTCTTTCCCGAGCTAGTTGTCAAAGCCAGAACAGATGGGTTATGTTCTGTCTGTACAGGGACACTGGATAGGTTTGGAGTAATGTCCACTGTGATCACTGGCCCTTGGTTGGATTGGCAAACCCCAAATGCTTCAATCGCATCCATCACTTTCTCTCCTTGAGCTTTCTTGGGAGAGGCACAAATCATTGTGGTCTCTTTTGCCCCTCTAAAGTTTCTCAGCCAAGCCACAAGAGGACAGATGGCAGGGCTACAGTCCCAAACATTTCCTGCTAAACTAATCATGGTCAGTGAGATCCAAGCATCAACAACCTCCTGAGAAACATTTGTCAGCTTATTAGAGTCCAGGTTGAGAGTCTGCAGGTTTGGTAAGCATTGGTAAACTACGGGATCTACTTCTGTCAGTTCATTCCCTGACAGATCCAGTTTCTGGACAGAGGCCCAGGTCCAAGTCAAGCCCTGGCTCATTGACCGAATGCGATTCCACTGCAGGTAAAGAGCCCGTAGATTGTAGAGTCGAGGAAAATGGGAAAAATTGATCTTGGAGAACTGATTGTGCTCCAAATGCAACTCGGTGAGTTTGACAAGTCCAGAAAGTGCATTTCGGGTGATACTCCGGAGGCGATTGTAACCAAGATCAAGGAATTCAAGATTTCTGCAATCTTGAAAAAGACGCATTGGGAGAGTTTTTAGTGAATTAGATCGTATGTGAAGACTAAGAAGTTTACGTAACCCTTGGAATTGGCCAAGTTGCAAGGCTTGCAGTTTATTGTATGACAAGTCCAAATTTCGCAAATTAGGGACAGGATGAAATGTTGTATTATGGAGCGATGTGATCTTGTTCGAACTTAATATCAGTTCTTTAAGCCTGCGGACCCCCTGGAATGCCATTGCATCCACAGAGGCAATGTAATTATGGTCCAAGTACAGCCAAATAAGATGGTTGAGGCCAACAAACTGTCCTGCGCGGAGACTGGAGAGGCTGTTGTACCGCAGCGACAGGCCCTCACAGCCTCCTGAAAGGTTCTTGGGGACATCACGAAAGGCGCTTGACTCACAGTAGACAATTTTTCCATCACAGCGACAACTCTTAGGGCAGTGGCGATCACTTAGAGATGGATTTGCCGCTAGCCACACCTGCATCAGGAGTTGGAACAATAGCCAGCGACGCTGCAGAGCAGAGCCTAAAAAAAGAAAGAAAGGGAAGGTTAGAAAATAAGATATTTACTTTCCAATTATGTTTGAGATTAAAATTGAAGTATTTTATTGAACAAATACTTTTTTTGATTCATATGCCTACACTTGACTGCAGGCACTTGTCCCTGTGACCTCATTTGTCTCCAAAAGACAAAGACAATAAAACAAAAGGGATTCTTATGAACAATAAGATGAGATAAGTTGTCTTGATCATCTTGGCTAAAACATTTGAATTCAATCCAAGAATCTTTTCCTACACATTTGGACTGTTACTTTAAGTTATTCAGAAAAGCAAACAAAGGCTAAAATGTAACATCAACAAATAAATTTGATTTTTGGAAGTGTACTAAATCACTAATAACTGGGGAAGAAATTCAACCCAGAACAGGAGGAAGAAGAAAACATTTTATGGCATAACAAGTCCCTGTATAGCAGGAAGCCCATTCTTTCAGCTCAAAAGCAAAACCAGCTAAATGCGACTCCATGTGCAGGCAGAGTTAATATACCCAGTAGACAGTCCTATAAATATTACCAGAGTAGAGGATGTGTAAAGATCCACAATACATGCAATGTACCAGATGCGCTTAGCATCAAAGTGAGGTGGAAATACCAAGGGAGCCGGTATAGAACAACAGGGCTAAAACCCACGTCATTATAAGACATAAAAGCAAAAATAGCTTCATTTACATTTTATTAAATTCAATAAATTGGCTAGTTGATCCAAGTAGCGCAGATAGGGAATATGTTGGGGGGAAAAAAAGACTTTCAATGGGACTAAGTGACCAGACAAAATGCAGACTGCCACTGCAAATCACCAAAAAGACCTGCAGCCACTGAAGATGTGAGGTGGAATGTCGAGATGTCCATAACCATATTTAAATATAAACTGAAAGGTTTTAAGGCCTGAAACTAAATGTAAGCTTCTTTTTCATCAGACTAGAGCAAACACAGCACATCACCACAAACAACATGCCTACAACCAGTAAGCATGTTCTAGAAAGCTTGCAAAAGATGTAAAAGAAAATTGACAAGAAATATTGTCAAATCCAGGACCATTATTTGACTCAGTCCAAAAAGGAACTATAAATTGAAACAGCATTATTAAATAATTGAAACATAAATGTAGCTTTTTAATTAAAAAATTGTTTAAAAAAACAACTCAATGCCATATTGCAGTGCACAGTAATTTTTATTGCCATTCCTGTAAACAGCTCCATCTTGTAAACATCTTAGCAGTGCAAAGTAGGTGGTGATTTTAATTACTACCTACTGAAACTACCTGCTAAAACAAGGTAGCTTCAGGAGCAGAGTTTTTAAATTAAATATTTCAGAAAAGGTTGCTTGCTACTCTGCATTGTAGGACCTGTATTTTTTGTCACAGTAATAAGGCCAACATTTACACAAAAATGGTGAAAGAAGCAATGAATGAACAATGGTACAATTGTGCAGCTAAATGAAATTTAAAATCTATTATAAAAATGTTTAATATTTAAAACTTTCCAATGTCCTTAAAATGAATTTAAGACTTCTATCCCGGTGATTTTTTTAAGACCTTATACAAATATCTTGAAATGCAATCAAAATAGATGTACCTAAACTCTTTAATTTATCACATGCCTGAAATAAGATATTTCAACTTAGCTTCATCAAAATGCCAGAGCCTAACCTCACAGACTTTCTTCTTAGGAGTCTGGAGAATGCAAAAACCAAGACAACGCACATACACACACACACACACACACACGCTTGCTGAACATCATGCCCACACTAATCCACAAAACTGCCTTTCAGGTAGTTGTTTGATTCTGCAGAGAGGTGTTGTGAAATTCCATTCCTCTGGGGATATAGTGATGTTTTTGGACCAGTGAAAAGCAAAAAGTAATGATTCAGACTGAATCTGTTCTGCTTTGGTTTGGTTAAACATGAAATGACTGGAGTCTAAATTGAAACGCCTCCAGGACTGTAGACACAACTATCACTCCTTTCATGCTGATTTTTTTTTTTTTTTTTTTTTTTTTTTTTTTGGGGAACAAAATTCCCCTCCCCAATACTTCTCTTCTTTTCAAATTGCCACTGTATTTTCTTTT